TGGGAGTAATTTAATTCCTAAAGGAATCATTACGACCCAGCTCTGTTGTCCTCTAAACAAGAAACACAAACAACCGAGCAATAAAAAGGCGACATTTTTTGTAGAGACGAAAACGACATAAGTAAAGTCGCCTTTGCCCATATGATTGNCCTCTAAACAAGAAACACAAACAACCGAGCAATAAAAAGGCGACATTTTTTGTAGAGACGAAAACGACATAAGTAAAGTCGCCTTTGCCCATATGATTGTCATGTGCTAAGAAATAGTTTTTCGCGTTTTCTCACAAACGTATTATTTTGAGTTGTGACTCTTTTGACTTCAATAGTACCTATAATAATCCAAAAAATACAAAATTGCCACTTCTTTATCTCACTTGAACAAAAAATGTACCCTGCAAACCATTTTTTCAGAGTATTCTGAATTGTAGAGATATTTTAACTAATTCGTAAAGATCCCATCCGATTTTTTGCAGAATTTTCTAAAATGAAATGAACTGTGCACACTTCGATTCTTTTACGAAATTTCGGAAGAAAATCGTTAAAATAAATGGCCCGTAATCATAGTCAAAATAAAGTCGACTTTAAAGTTAGTTGTAGCTTTTTTGACAGATATCCCATTGAAAATTATGTCAAAAAGCTGCAACTAACTTTAAAGTCGACTTTATTTTGACTATGACTACGGGCCATTGAAAATAATGCTGCTATGTGAAGAATTTCTTGCAGAAGTTTTTCAGAATTTTCTTTATTTTTCGTACCGAAATTTCTTTACGAGTTCGTGTCAATCACTTCATATAATTCTCTTTGAAGATTCGTAAAAAAGCGTTACAGAAATGAGATACTCCTAAAGATTTTGGTAAGATTTCGGAAACTTTGGTTTGCAGGCTATTAATTTTTACCATGCGAGTATATGTGTGTAAATTCAAAACTCTAAAGTCGTTTATCTCGAGTTCTACTTTTTTGAGTTATGACACTATTGAAGTAAATGAATGATTTTAACTTATTATTTTGCTAGTAGCTACATACATATGTATGTATATACATACATAATTATAAACTCACAAGTCAAAAACTGATTTCTTTTCATACAACCGCTCCTCATTGTTAGGTTCTTGACCTCAAATGTGCCCGAAAGATAAGCAGCGCCAATGCGAAACGTATGTAATTGTGTAGTTANGAGCTTAATCAAGCTGAATGTTAATAAAATTTATCTTGAGTCTTTTATTTTTGATTGTTGTTTATAACATATGAACGTATAGTTCGCTAATACAACAGTCATAAATTATGCAAAATTTTTAACTAAAAATTAATGGCCTGAGCATTCTACTTAACTCCTAAATTATTACTTGAATGTTAACCACACTATCTATGACCAGACACCACGTGGTTTTTTCGAAATTGCATTAGTTTGTCGATATATTCATCGTGATTTTTGAGTGTGGCTAACAGTCCTTGTTCATTGACGGGCGAACCTTCTGGTCCATAGTTGATAAACTCATCATTTAGATTGGTCATAGCACCGCCAAGTGCACGTAAAATGGCGTCGCCCGCACATATATCCCATTTTTTTATTTTCGTTGAGTGCAAGTACGCCGTGGCATTGTTGGAAATCACCTGTAGCACCTTGTAGCCAGCGCCTGCAGCCGTAATAATTTCAGAGTTTTCACCAAAAACATCTTTTATTAGTTCTTTAACACTGCCAGCATGGGAACGAGAAACTGTGATAAGTGGCTTGGTGGTATCCGGATTTAGTGGATGTATAAGAGCCAAATATTCAGACATTGAATGATCCACCCACGCCCATGCTGTCTGTCCTATAAAAGGACTGTGAATTACGCCGATGATAGGTTTCCCTTTACCGCAACACAAACCATCGTTGTTACGTATTGATATAATTTTTCTGTAAGAATTCCATTACAATATCTAATCATATTGAATTTGTTTCATGAATATACCTGTGAACTCTTGTGTTGCATCTAGCGGGTCGATCCACACAGTGACTTCACTATATCCACCAATACATTAGGTAAGTCTGCAGTTTCATGTAAAACTGTCGGATCTAGATCGAAGGTATTTACATTGCTACAGCTTTCTTTATCCTCTTCGGAAAAAATTTTAATACGGGAAATATGCGATGCAGGCCCTCTTTCATAACACAATGGGAACGCCCATCCGCGTCCGTAAAAGGGTCGTTGGCTCCTTCATCGGTTTTCCCCTTACTGCGCTCTTTTAGGTCTCTTGTCTGCGCAACCTCCAATACTTCTATGCCACCACGCTGAGCTGCCTGTATAGCGCCAATAAGAAGTTTACGTAGGTTCACTTTATTTTGATTACGTAGCAGTCCATATACCGCCGGCCGCTCATCCTGATGGAAGTTGACGAAGTACACTATAATAAGCGTCAACAAAATAATGGCAATTGCGGCGGGCACACGATGAATATGTATTCTGCGCCCCATGTTTTCTTTGCGTTTCAAATAGCTCATAGAAGTTATTTAAGGAGCGCGACGATAATCACCTCCACACTTCGTGTGGGAAACAAAGGTAAATAATTTGATGGCGTGTCCAAATCAGACAGACTCACCTGTTAAAAACAAACTGCAATACACAAGATCAACAAAACATTTGTAAACAAATAGAACGCTTCGAGGGACATCTGAAGTATAGTAAAAATTTTGACATTTATGTCTGAGTTGGCAATGCCAATATTTAATTAATTATTAATTGTGAATCTCAAGGCAAAAAGAAGAAGCATCCGCATTGGTGAAGATTTGACACGTCAATTGTATTTTTCACAATACATGTTTTTGCGATAATTTATAAAGTAATTCGTTTTGAAGGCTGGAACTCGTATATTTGTTGCCTACTTTGTGCATAACTTTCGATTTCATTTGAAATATTTCATTTTAGTTTCGAGAATTAACCAAAAGTTTGAGCAACAATCATGGCGTTGGCTGAGGGACCTTGCTATACAATAATTAACTCTCCAGACATCGAGGTGCCGAACGAGATGCAGCTTAAACAAGACCTCGAAAAGGGCGACACCAATGTTAAAATCGAAACCCTAAAGAAAGTTATACAAATGTTGTTAAATGGAGAGCGTTTGTCTGGTTTGATTATGACCATTATCAGATTCGTATNTGGCTTCTTGCATTGACCAAGTAAACCATTTTGGTGATATTCTACAACTGGTCATCGTCGAGCTTATTTATAAGGTTTGCCATGCCAATCCATCTGAACGCTCCCGTTTTATACGCTGCATTTACAATTTGCTTAACTCGTCATCAAACGCCGTGCGCTATGAAGCTGCTGGTACCCTTATTACACTATCTTCCGCTCCAACCGCCATACGGGCAGCAGCCAGCTGCTACATTGAGTTGATCGTCGGCGACAGCGACAACAATGTTAAACTTATCGTTCTGGATCGATTGGTTGCTATGAAGGAAAATGAAAACATGGAGAAAGTAATGCAAGATTTGGTCATGGATATATTGCGAGTTTTAGCAGCACCTGACATTGAAGTGCGCCGCAAGACCTTGGCTTTGGCAATGGATTTAGTTTCATCACGCAACATCGAAGAAATGGTGCTGGTGCTTAAGAAAGAAGTATCCAAGACTCACAATGTTGAACATGAAGACACCGGCAAGTATCGCCAATTGCTTGTGCGCACACTACACACTTGCTCCATTAAATTCCCAGATGTGGCAGCAAATGTAATACCGGTACTGGTCGAATTTCTTTCCGACACAAATGAGTTAGCTGCTGCCGATGTATTAATTTTTATTCGCGAAGCTATACAGAAATTTGCTGCACTGCGTGCACTTATTATTGAGCGTCTAATTGAAGCATTTCCACAAATAAAGTCTTCGAAAATTCACCGCGCTGCAGTCTGGATATTAGGTGAATATGTTGATAACAAAGAGCAAGTAGTGGAAGTCACAGAAGCTATTATTCAAACTTTGGGCGAGGTACCGATGGTGGAGGCCGAGCAAAAGCGTCTGGCCGGTGAACAAACGGATGAAGGTGAAAAGGCTGCCGAAGGCAACAACGCTATTTCTTCAAGCAATAAAGTAACTTCTGATGGTACATATGCTACACAAAGCGCATTCAGCCTGGCACCGTAAGCTACAATATCTAATTTTTCTTCGTTTGGTTTTATTTGAATCATACTTTTTTATAGTGTGGCCAAGAAAGAGAAGCGTCCACCACTCCGGCAATATCTAATGGATGGTGATTTCTTCATAGGTGCTGCCTTATCGGCCACACTGACTAAGCTTGCACTACGTTACGCAGAACTAGAAAATGATGAGGTAAGTAATTTATAAATGTCTTTTGATCATAATGCACTGCCACATCTCTTTCAGCGTCAGCAAAATCGCTTGACTACACAGGTGATGCTCATTATGAGTTCCATTTTGCATCTTGGCAAGTCAGGCTTCCCAACCAAGCCTATTACCAATGATGACATTGATCGCATTTTCATTTGCTTGCGCACACTGAGTGAGCGCACAAAAGAGGCTGTAGAAGTGTTTCAACATTATTGTCGCGATGCACTTGGAAAAATGTTGGATGCCCAACATGAAGAGGATCAACGCATTTTGAAAGAAAAGCAACGTGCTGCTGCTAAGGTACAACCGGACGACCCGGTCGCATTTGCACAGCTATCAAATGGGCGTGACAATCAGTTGGGCGAAAATGTTTTTGAGACTAGTTTGAATCAAGCATTGGCAGGCACCAAATCCACCAACTTGAGCGACATCACTTCGCCAAATAACAAACTCAACAAAGTAACACAATTGACCGGCTTCTCCGATCCCGTATATGCTGAGGCTTATGTTAATGTCAACCAATATGACATCGTTTTGGATGTATTGATAGTTAATCAAACAAGTAGAATAATAAGCTACAACAAAAACTAAAATTATTATTAAAAAAATCTTATCTACTGCAGATGACACTCTACAAAATTGCACATTGGAACTGGCCACTTTGGGTGACTTAAAACTGGTTGAACGGCCACATCCTGTAGTCCTGGCACCCCATGATTTTTGCAACATAAAAGCAAATGTAAAGGTATCATCTACAGAGAACGGAATTATTTTTGGCAATATCGGTTGGTATAATTTAAGACTTTTAACGTTGAACCCTAAATTTCATTATCAAAACCGAAAATATTTTTAGTTTACGACACAAGTATTAATACAAATGTTGTTGTGCTGAACACTATACATATTGACATTATGGATTACATCATACCCGCCTCTTGCACTGATACTGAATTCAGGCAAATGTGGCAAGATTTTGAATGGGAAAATAAGGTACTAAATTTTCAATCGCTCTAACTTCTTAAGTAAATATACCAGCGTAATTATGCTTTCAGGTAACAGTAAATACAACGTTCACCGATTTACATGAATATTTGAAACACCTATTGAAGAGCACCAATATGAAATGTTTGACACCGGAAAAGGCACTCAGTGGTCAATGTGGATTTATGGCCGCAAATATGTACGCAAAGTAAGTAAAAAGCATGCGAATAGTACGGAGTTAGATAAACGTATCCAATATTTAGATCGATCTTTGGCGAAAATGCTCTTGCCAATCTAAGTATCGAAAAGCCCGTGGACGATCCAGATTCTAAGGTCACTGGACACATACGCATTCGTGCTAAAAGTCAGGTACATCAAAAATGTTTAAAATTTAAATTTAGCGCACGGTTTACATTAATATTATTTTTCAACGTTTATCGTTCCAGGGCATGGCACTCAGCTTAGGCGATAAGATCAGCTCATCACAGAAGCAATCAGTGCAAGCCGCTTAGATGCGGATAGATGTTGCAACATATTTTTTAAGCTTGAGCTCTTAGTGTATTTTTTGTGGATTTTTTGTTTTGATAGGGAATTAAAGTAAAATCTTTTTCCATAATACAAACAATTGTACCACATACATAAATACGTTTTTTGTGTTGATGGAAAGTGCGCGAATAGGAAAGCGAACGCAACTTTCTAGATATATGTGAAGGCAATTTGGTGTCGTATATCCTTTCTATAAAAAAAAATAAAAAAAAACTTATAATTCCAGCTATTAAATAGTATAAAATACGACCAATTACTTTGTTTTATGTTTTTGAATATCGCATTACGTGTACGAGTTTGTTTACATACATACACCGTTTATTATATATACATACATACATTTATCAACAATAAAAAATTAATGAAAGTTACGTTTAAAATTCAGATTGATGCTTAATTTACAGAATGTTTAGTACCTTGCGAGATATTTAGCTGACTTTCGCGGTTCGTGTATTTCAGTTGGGCAGTGCAACAATGCTGCCATTTTTCATCAGTACGGCAGTAATGCCGTTTTTATTACGTGCCTCGAACAGCCCCCATGTATTAATACAAGTTCTCTTCGTTTGTATGGTTCTTAAATCTAGAAAAAATTCTCAATAAAAATTCGCTCATTGCTGGCCAATTAATTCTTCTTATAATGAATTAGGAAGTAACTCTAAATCACAAAAAAAAAAATCGCTCAGCGAGTACGGGATCGATTTCAAGCAAAATATGGTAAAATAAAAAATCAGGCCAATTTAAATGGAAAACTTTTTCTTGTCTTTTCTACTTCCGTAACTTTAATATGGCCACTACTTTGCTTATTCTAGTACAATTGAGTACTTTATTTGAAACGCTCAATGCAACTCTCTAAAACAGCTGTTAAATTTGTTTACATTTTTCCGCTTTGCTGCTTGTGGATCCGTGAAAGTGGAGCAGTTGTAATTGGGGACAACATTCCAGTAGCTGTTTTAAGCATTTCAACCTAAGTTAAAAGTACCAGCGAAGTAAAAGTTCCAAATCAACCTTTTTTATTCAAAATGTTCATTGAAACATGCATAGCTCCTGTGAACATTGCTCTGATTAAATACTGTAAGTACACTTTCTCCTTTGTATAGTCTACCGTTTTGAGCAAGCTCAATGGGCGATCTCTATTTTATTTGTACTTTCACCTGAAGGGGGCAAGCGGGATGAAGAGTTAATACTGCCCATCAATGATTCGCTCAGCGTGACCCTAAGCACCGATGAGGTATTTAACATATGAAAACTTGCTTTCAGGCATACTAAAATTTTGAATTTTAAACAGATTTTTGTCATGCTAATTTATTTCAGATGTGCGCCAAGACAACAATAGCTGCTTCAGCTTCCTTCAAGTGTCACATTATGTGGCTCAATGGCGAGGAGGTGCCGTTTGAAGAGAATCCACGTACCATGCGCTGTTTAAAGGAGAGTATGTGAAGCTACCGAATTATTAACGCAGCACATATGTACGTATTTTAATTTTATGCATTTTAGTACAGCGACTCGCAATTGCAAAAGGTCAGCTAAAATTCCCCATAGACTGGAAGCTGCACATTGCATCGCATAACAATTTTCCTACAGCTGCTGGCTTGGCATCTAGCGCTGCGGGTTATGCGTGCTTAGTAAAAACGCTGGCATTTTTGTATGGCGTTGATGGTGAAGAATTGACGGCAATAGCGCGGCAGGGCAGTGGGTCTGCATGCCGTAGTTTATATGGCGGCTTTGTACGGTGGCACATGGGCAACCGCAGTGATGGCAGCGACTGCCTTGCACTACCTGTAGCTCCGGCAGAACATTGGCCAGAATTGCATATTTTCATATTAGTTGTAAATGATGCGCGTAAAAAAACAAGCTCAACCAAGGGCATGCAGTTTGCTGTGGAAACATCAGATCTGATTGCACATCGTGCGAAACATTGCGTGCCAGAACGTATAGCGGCATTAATCCAAGCTATTGCAAACAGAGATTTTCAAAAACTGGCTGAAATCACTATGCGCGATTCGAATCAATTTCACGCTATTGCATTGGATACGTACCCACCATGTGTGTACATGAATGATGTTTCGCATGCGATCGTAGAATTCGTGCACTCCTACAACGAAGCAGCAGGAGAGATAAAGCTTGCCTACACTTTTGATGCAGGGCCCAATGCTTGTTTGTACGTGTTGGAACGGGACGTATGCGCTGCGTTGGTGGCCATCAAATCCAGCTTTCCAAATGATGAGGAACACAGTGTCGAATATGTTAAAGGTATACCAGTAGGATGCGAGCAAAAGGAGGTAGGTTGTTGTGCATACAAATTCTATGTGTTTAAGATTTGCTTTGGTGTTGGTAATCATTTGCGAATTTATCATTATCAATATATGTACATATATCTTTGTATAAATATATTTCGTTTCAGAGTAATGGTTTCAATGGCAACGCAAGTTTGCATATTAATAACAAGAATCTCCTTAAATATATTATTCACACGCGTATTGGC